AATTTTTAAAAAGAAGAAAAAATTCTACCTCTTTCAATCGAAATTAGAGTTCAAAACCAAATTCCTTAAAGAGGTTTACTGTGCACAAAAGCATTTTTGTGTGCTTGTCTATTTTCATCACTGAGGGTGAGGTGGCATTTGGTTAGGTGACGCCTCGCTACCATATATGTAACAACTAATATGTCTTGTATATTGAGAATGGAGCTAATTCTTCGTTGAGTTCTGGATTAAAAAAGAACAAAATGGATATTATGTTTTTTTAATATTTCACACTTTTATCACTATGAACAGTAAGGACGTTGTAAGTAATAGCAACTAGCGATCAATAACATTATACTTGGTCAATACCGTAAAACTTAGACTAATTTCGTTGTTCAGACGAAATTTCTTGCTATATTTCAATATCGGGTCCTTTTTGAAGAGTACTTTGTAGTTTTGTTCATAAAGTCAAATGAATGCGCGCGCTCTGAGCAACAATTAAACACCAAAATTTTTAATTTCTCTATGTACATAGAATGTTATTTTAAGTGAAACCCACCAGCGATATAATTATAATAAAATAATATTTAAATTAAGAATCATGACAAAATTAGGAGGGGAAAGACATACAGCTGGTAAATGATAGAATGAGTATTTTATATAAAAGGAAATATAATGAATAATAACCAAAGATTTTATAACAAGATATAACGGAGAATTTTATATAATTAATGACTTTATGATGCAAAGATAGCTTAAGGAGGAATCCTCCCCTTCGAGTAATATTCATGATGGATGATGTTCTGAAATTCAAAATACTAGGCCTATTGTAGGCAATGCTTAAAAGGGCGAGATGCATATATTCATAAATAATTTTACTCATTAAAAGCAGCATCCAAATCTTGGGAACGTCTAAGAGCATCAGAACGTTTTTGTTCACGAGTCTCTTTAAATATAAAAATGTCATTGTGAAGAGAAAAAATTTAACGAAAGATTAATGAAATTTTGTTTAATCTTACCGCTTGTTATTAATCGTTCAATAATATTTACTCTATATTACCTCTAACATTTTGAAGCAATTGACGTTCAGCTTGCCGTTGCTCGGGAGATTTTTGAACACGAACGCCCAAAGCACCATGAACAAGGCGCTTAGCGACCATGTCAGTCGTAACCGGACGCGCACGAGGCTGTGTATTGTTTGGATCTTCTGTTTTTATACACATGTTGAATTTTAATACACAATCCGGGATAAAATGTATACAATTTCTAAACGTGACTTACTCTTTTGAAGAAAATCGGTTGGTCCATCATAAGGTTTAATTTGTGCCATTTGATTAGTAACATTGTCCAAGTAAGCTTTACGTGCTAATTTTTGTATTATTAGAAAAAAGAAAAAAAATTATTGATTACATAGCCATAGATCTATAAAATTATGATTAAAGAATGAATTAATGAATACCGGTAGCTGGGTGCTCAAAGATAATTAAGGCGCGAGTATCATCCATCCATTTAATACGATAGCCTCCTCGCATACTCTCATATTCTTGGAATATTTCGTGGAGATGATGAGTTTTGAAAGATGCTGGGAAATCAAAGACGTCTAGAATACGAGTTGACCCTTCGTATGCATCTAATTAATATTAATACATATATATGTGTGTGTGTGTGTGGAAAAAATTTTTAATAATCGCCATTATACGAGAATTAAATTTATTATAGATGAGAAATTTTATTTAACCTGGATCAAAGTTGAATTCGATTTTACTGCTTTTGCTTTTTTTATGGCCTTTTTTAAAAGGTCTCGGTCCATTGTCTGTTTTTTGACCATCTGCTTTTTGTTTATCAGATTGGCTATCAATTTGGGCAAAGACTGACCCTTTTAGATTCAAATCGCTCTCTGCAGCTTTTTCCCATTCTTCAACGGTGGATTGTTGCGAGTTTCGATCCATAGAAATTGTAGGCGAGAAAGCTTCATTGTATTGCTGTTGCGGATTTTGTTTAATTTCCTCGCCGTTTTCGCTAATGGAAGTGGTCTCAAGCGTCGACGAAAGTTTATTAACTTCATCGGTAATGTTTCCATCACTGCCAGACTCACCGCTTTCAGAACCAACCTGACCACCGTTACTACGTCTTCCTGATTTGGGTTTTTTCTTTAGTTTTTCGCTACCTTTAGGAGGATATTGTCTTAAAGATGTAGCATCAAAGTCACGCCCTCTAGGAGTCCGAGGTGCTTGTTCTTGTTGTTGAGATTCGTTAGTAGAAATAGGTCCTCGGAAAGTTCCTCGACCTTTTCTTAGGACACCAGAGTCTTGGTTATCGGGTTTGTCGTAATAGGAGTTATCAACGTTTTCACCAACTGAATAATGCTCCTCGCCAGTCGAATTACGCTCAACCTTAAACACGGACACATCACTTCTTCCGGGTCTCCTAAATATTAGGAAAACAGTTTTGCACATCAAACAATCGCTTGCCTGTTCGTTGGTAGAAATTGCTTAGTTGCAATTGGAAGACCATATTGTTTTCCGTGATTGTTATATACCTTGTCGTGCCAACTCTCGTCGGACTTGTCTCTGGAGAAGCGGTCGCAGAAACCATTGTGAAACGATTGAGTAGATATTAAAGAAAGTCTACCTGTTGGATGGTGAAGTATGAAAATTTCTTTGTTGTGAACTGTGGAGTTCGACCAAGAAAAGCCGATAAGAAAATGTTTGGGGTGAGTAATTGGTGACCCTAATATTTCGAAAACGAGCCACTCTAATGGCGTATTCTTGTGATACTTGAAAAAGGGTCGATTGATTGGTTGAGTGCCCGAAGATACGATTTTCGCACACCCACTTCCCACACTTTTGAAAACTACATAGCTTGCTTTTTTAGCCTGTTTTCCTTCTTTTAAAAGGTTGAAAAAATAGCTTGTCGAAATAATAGTCTACAATGTTGCCTGCAAAACAAAACAAGATTGACTTGAGTGTAAGTATTATTTAATTGATGCAGGAATCGGTCTTTATTTTTCATAATAAATACAATTTTAAAAATAACGTTTTTTAGAAATTGACCGAAGAAGAGAAAAAACTTTTCACTCTTTATGGTCGATTACCAACAGGAAAAGATATTTTGAATCGTAATTTGAAGGTAAAACTTGCAGCGCTCGGCATTAGTTGACTTTTCGAGTATAATAATATGTGATTTTCCAAGTTCTATATTTGGATTTTAATCTAGATTTTTGTTTTACAATCTTACATTTAAAAAAGGAACGAAAATATTTTGATTCTGGGGATTACGCTCTTTCAAAGGCGGGTAAGACACAGCTTCAAGTAGGCTCCGAACATCCTTCACCTGAAACAATTCCACATACCAATCCAATTGCCACACAAACTCACAACTCGTCACCAGTCAAAGAAAGTTCGTTGGTTCACGAAGCAGAAGTCGAGGAAAATTCTGCACCGGTGATTGATAACGGTGAAGCAACAACACCCAATTCCACCCAGAGTTAGTAGTTCGCATAATAGATATTATCCCACCTCTAACTAGCATATTTTTGAAGAATATTTATTTAAGGCAAATATATCCAAAGTTGATTTCTATGCATGATGTGGTAAAGTCCAAATATAATATGCCACTTTACTTCTATCTGATAATAAGTCATTGATCATGAATTTAATAGAACTGTTAATTTCAACTAAAGTTCTTGTGAGCTGATTTTCAAATTATTACAAAATGTAATAAATAGATTTTACATATTATCAAAATAATTTTAATTTGTATATAAAAAATTATGAATGATAAATGAAAATTATAAAAATAAAATATTTAATTTATGAATTTTCTTCAGAGTTATATAATTATAAAATTATTATAATTAATACAAATTTAATTAAATTAATTTATAATATAGTAATTTCAAAAAATCTGAAATTAATATATAATAATAATTAAGTATAATATAAATACTTGAATTTTTTACTAATAAAATATATATTTTTTATTACATATAAAAGTTTTTAATTTTACTGATAAATATTTTTTATTTTTAATTTAAATTCTTTATTTAATATATATATATATATTTCAGAAAGTTATTTTAATTATATATAAATTAATTAATAAAAAATTTGTATTTTAATATAAAAATCAATAATTATTTTTAATAAAACTCAATCAAATTTTAATTAATTTTATAATTTTTTATATTAAATAAAAATAATTTAAATTAACTTTTTATATTATTTTATTATATTTAAATTTAAAAAAAATAAAAGTAATGCTTTTTAAATAAAATTATTTTTTTAAAAAAAAGATATTTTAAATATTATTATTATTAATTTATAATTTTTAGAATTTTTAATTTATACAAGTAGATTATCTTAAATTTCATAAAAATATATTCTAAATTTTATAAAAATTAAAATAGTAATTATAAGATTTAAAGTTTAGTAATTAAATTATTTCTTATATAATTTTTATATTAATTTTAATTAAATTTTATATAGTAAAAAGAAATAATAATTTAAAAAAGTTATTATTAATAAAAAATTTTTATAAAAGATATATAATAAAAATTTTTATATTTAAATAAATCTAATTTCTAATAACTTAATAAAATAAAACAGAATTAAAATTTTATTTTGAAAAAATAATTTATTAATATTTATTTAAGATACAAATCATTTTGTATTAGGTTATAATTATTAATTAATTGATTTTATATATAATTTAAAATAACTTTTTTAAAAATCTGAAAAAATATATATTAAAATAAAGAATTCTAACTTTATTTTAAGCTAAAAATAAAAAATATTTATTAATAAAATTTTAAAAATTAATTAAATTCTTTTTGTTTTACTTTTTTTATCTAAAATTAGTTATTTATTTAAAAATAAACTTAATATATTATTTTTATTTCAACAATAAATTTAAATTAAAAAAATAAAAAAATGAATGAATTATTTTTCTTTTAAAATAATATTAGTTAATAATTTAATACTTTCAGATATAGAAAAATTATCATTACTTCTATATCTTTTTAAACTCTTTTATTTTGCAATATGCTTTTTAAAGATACCTATTTCATTTATTATAATCATATTATAATAATTTATATATATATTTATCTTTATAATTTCTACAATATGAAATTAGAGTTCTATTAATTCTTTTAATCTTTTTAATCAATATATTCTCATTTATTTTCTTCGAATTAATATTAAAATATATCTATCTTAACAATATATAATTTACTTGAATTTGAATTGATTTATCTTTTATTTCTTATAAAAGTTGTTTTTAATTAATTTTAATAAAACACAAGTTATTCAAAGATTTCTTTCTTTTTTTTGTTAAATTTAATTAGCAACAAATAAAAAGTACTTTAAATTATATAAAAAATTTTCATTAAGTCACATTGATTATTATTAAATATAAATTTATTACTATACTGATTAATTATTATAAGTCTGGGGATGATGTATATGTACCATGTACTACGTAATTACTGCAACGTTACAAATAAATAAATTTGATCTTTCGATGTGTGCTTCAAAAGCTCTTCTGCCTCTTCTACATTATCGTTATGAATTAACAGAGATTTTGTATAACGATCTTTATTAATATTTGTTGCTGCGGTTGCATTTGGAATAACTATCAAATAACTTCAAACAACCAACCATACTAAGCATTTTAAAATTCTAGTACCATTGATTCGAATCTTATTCAGGACGAAACCCAACGATATTTAAAAGATATTTTAAAGTTACTCTCTCCTATATAATACATAACATTTTTTTCTATGTTAAGGATATAAATTCATTTATTTTGATTATACGGATAATCTGCTAATTTATATGTTAAGTCTTGAAGCTATTACTGACGAGATCAGTCAATTCAATCCTAAATATAAAAAACATAATTAACCGATAAGCTAGCCTAACACTTAAAATTTATAATAAATACTTACCGGCCATTGTCTAATACATCTTGTATAACCAATTTAAAATATAGATTACGGTATCTATTGCAAATGTTCGTTCTAAATTGTGCTCATAAGCACAAGCTATAACGAATACACTTATATGTATAAAAATGCTAATTACCCGTTTCCGATCTAGCATTATTTTGTTAAAAAACGCAGTGTAGTTTTAGAGTCGAACGCTCTGAGCTCACCTTTGTTGAAAGAGAATAGAAAATTAGAAGTTCATTGTTAGTGTCGAAAATTAACGCGCGTTTGAATTTTTTCGTTGTACATTGAATCTTGCGATTTGATTGGTTCGCCCATTAAAAATTATCACGTGGCCCAAAAAAGCAGTGGTCACTCTCGTATTAATTCTGTAATTATAATTCTCGCATGAATTATAACTCCGGCTTGCGCTATCTATAATTCTCGCATTGATTCTAACTCTGGCCCGCACTATCTATAATGCTATGCGACCAAAAATTCAGATTTCAAAAAAAATTTAAAACAAATTATAAAACTATTAATTTATTTTAAAATACATCCTATTTTCTTTATATAATAAAATATATAATAATATCTTAACTTTTTTTTCAAATATAATTTATTCATTATATTTTTTTTCTTTTATAATTATTCCTTTTGAGTTTTCTAATTATTAAGTAATAAAATCTTTTTATAGTTATATTTCTTTATAATTATCTTAATTATAAAGAGATTTGATTATATTTATAAAAATTCTTTAAGTTTTAATTATATTAATAAATAAAATTTATATTTTTTAAATTTTAATATATTAAAAATTATTTTTAATAATTATATTATTTAAAATAATAATCTTTAATATCTTTTTCTTATTTAAATAATATAACTTAATTAACATAAAATCAAATTGATTATCAAATACTTCTTTTTTAGATTGATAAATAAAAAAGATTTTTTGAATAATATATATAATCTATCATATATATATTTTTTAAGAGAATCTTTAATTTTTCTTTTGACTTTCAATATAGTTTCAAGTAATAATGAGAGTCACAACTAGTTATAACTCTGTCACAATTTTCTGATTGACTATTGCAAGCCATAACTAGTTAAGAAGTCATCTTTAATCTCAAGTATTAATATAATTGAATCAAAAGTAAATAATCAAGTTTATAATATTAAACTATTATTTTATTATTATCTAATAAGTTATTATAAATTAAAATTACTACTTTTTCAAGTTTAGTTAGCCAGTCTTTTTCAAAGATAAATTTGGTTTTATCAGATATAAGAGTAAGAAACTCAGATTTTTTTTAAAAGTAGTTGAACTATTAGAATTTATGAATTCTGATTCTTCTTCTTTAGTATTTTCTTTACTAGTATTAGTTTTAAGTTTCTCTTTTAATAAAATGATAATGAATATATTTAATCTATCAAAATCTAGATCAATAATTATATTAACTGATTCAAAAGATACTTCAATTAATTTAATAATTATTTGAGATTCTAAGAAAAAGTATTATCTACTTTAATATCTTTAGTAAATTTAGATTGCATAAGTAGATCCAAAAGAGAAATATAATTTCTTGTTCTGCATTATCATAAACAAGTAATTTAAAGATCAAAAAAGTAATTATTCCAAAGAGTTATTAAATAAGAATCTCTTAATATATTTCTTCAAGAAATTTAATAATTTGAGAGATAATTCAAGTAGGTAGTTAAGATATAATAGAATAATAAAAATAAAAATATAAAAGAATTCAAAAAGATATAAGATAATAAGAATAAAAGTAATTGATAAAAAAAAATAAAAAAGGT